CTGAAATAGTCTGTCCTCTGAGCGAAGTCTACCGTCGAACTTTGGTCTGTATTTTTACATTGTGACTATATACCTCCTGTGTGCACAATGTATGAGGGTCATTTTCGTCATGAGCTATTTGTGAGCGTTTCTTCTGACTTGTATTATCTCTAATAAGTTAGTTTGTTATACATTTTAATTATAATAAGATTCCTTGTATTATTAGATATCTATGGATATCTATAGTGGAAATCAAAGATATTTCCCGCAGGTTGTTTTCCGCCAGGCCCCATTATTTCTCGTTAGCTTTCCGTAACTAACTGACCATCCCTGCATCCCTTGCTCGATTCACGCTTTTTTCCGTCTTTCTTCTCCGACTCCTTTCCACCCTTCCCCCTCTCTGCCTCCTTCATCTCTCCACTTCCCTCAAACCTCCCCTATCTCAATTTATTTACTGTTTCAGCAGGACAATCTGCCGAAATACCTCCGACTAATTCACGACTGCACACATCCTCTGCCATGCAATCTTATGTCATTACATGTCATTACAACCCAAGCAAATCTCCGTTAGCGAGAATTGTCGTATTGCACTTCACTATATATATAGCGTAGTATGAACCGTGATATCACCGAAAATAGAACTTGCACCGAATTAATACGCCTACACCCTCTATAATAACTGATAAAATAGTGCGCTATGGTACAGTGCTTCTTAAACTATTGCAGTGTCATTCACCATCGAGTCTTTATCGCAAAATTTCATTTGCCCGCGACTAAATTACCTTGTTTTTGGTTATTTTCGTCTTACTCTCCCTTGCACAATCTAACTTTAGATCGCCCAAAACGGTGCTCAGATCTGCTTATTATGTAGAATTCTAGTTTTATCAGAAAAGTAGCTAAATTAACAACTCGCAGTAAAGTTACAGTTCAATAGTTGTCTATGGCGATCCTCCACTAGTGTTGCCATTTATATCTTTATGATCCCACTAGATCGTCTGGTCGCCCCCAAAAGGTTATATTACGGTAAATTTGGGAAATATCCTGCTACTTTGAAATTAGAAAAGCAGGTAGAGAGAAAAAACATCAAATTTTCAGCTGCAGTGCAATAAGAGCACTAACGACTAAGAGAATAAGAATAAGAGAATAAGAGCGCTAACGATAATTACTAACGACTTTAATGGCAATGCCTTTTATTGTATAGCGAGATATCATATACCGAGTAAATTAAGTCTTCACCTTTTCTGTTTTATTCCATGGTCGTCCGAAGGGGGAGGGTGCGATGGGTGCGTCGCGCGCCTTTTTTCCAGAGTTTACCCCGGGAATTAGTTATTTAGCCGGCAAGTGAATTCGTTGCGCAATTCATTGACTCATCATTCATGACTCTTGACTCAACCAAAATTATTTCTGAAATATTGGCCATAAATTGTGTGCAAAAATGCTCCAAGATAAGGCTCAGTTTGTACCAGAGAGCGTCTAAAACCCCGAGCTTTCAGGGTCTTTCAGCGGGTCCTGGACCCCGGCCATGAGAGACTTCGCGCTCGTGATGAGCGCTTCGCGCACATTATGTCACAGAAATTTTTAATTATGCCTACTCATGTCATGCCACCCCCTTTTTGAAAAGCTTGGAACGGGCCTGAATTCCACCCTTCATTCACTCCTCTAGTTTCATTCACCCTAAAATAATTTCATTCACCTTTGGGTGAACCATTCACCAGTTAAACTAAGCACTGCTATGGTGCACTGCGTAGCTAGTTTCTCACATACGGAAAATGAGTATTTTGTCATGAAAGACAAAAATACAATGAAATCAGTTCGTATATTTGCATCCCCAGCCAGCACGCAGATGTTGTGCCACGTGGTAATATCATAGACTAACAATATCTAATAATATAGATATCGATACTGTTAGTCTACGGTAATGTGCTGTTGGTAAGTTCCTGTTGCAGAGAAGTATATAGTTCTAATGACCTCGCTATCTTTGCGAGTATCTTGGATTACGATAGACAGTGTTTTTTACGGCAATAAAAAATAATTAACAATAGTTATGCGACACTGGATACATTTAGTTTTATTAAGTTAAATGCAATAAGTAACTCTAAAGCGGTGATGTTTTCATTACATTTACTATCGTTCTTTTGTGGTTGTTACACTAATAGATACAAGAATACGACGGCAGTTCACAGACGTACTACAGATTAGCGACATGGAGTTGGGTACCTATATTCTAGGTACATGCTAGCAACTTAAGCGAAACCTTGATCAATATGCCCGCTCCTTTCCTTAGGAGTTTATATAATTATGTGTATTCACGAGCACGCGATATGGTTATCGCTTCTGCATGCATTCTAGATCTTTCGATGTAATTTTGCTTAGAAATCTCTCCCTCTTCCCTCTGTCCAGCTCTGCTATTATATACTTCTGGGAGTCTATAGACGACTATAGCTGGCCATCGTAGTCAGAAATAATTATTTCTGAGTACGATGGCCAATCATAGACGACGGACAAATATAATGCGTAGAATTCTTCAAAATCAAATATTAATGCTATATTTAACCACACTCAAACGTTGAAATGGTTTTCAATTGTATGTAACAAGCTCACTTAATTTGTATGTTTGCTGGATAAATATTATCAATGATAATGATCATGATAATTATACATACACATATACACTAACTAACCCCATTCAACGTTAATATCTCTATATAGGATGACGCTGCGCACACAAATTCGAGGTTATTACTGTGTGCACTGTGCGCTCGGAAAACAGTTATAGATAGATTGTAGCTACGGCTTCAGTGTGGCGCTTCGGAGGCCTGCGATTCCTCTATGATTCTACGGAGCCTATGGATTTCTTCACTCAGCGTCTTATTTTCCGTCTGCGCCTAAAACGAGTCCTTAACGCGTCAAACTACAAAAGTCGTTGTGTTTTTGATCAACAGTTAGTACATATTTTCATTCTTGGAATAGATTTTAACTTTAAATGCAGCTATGGGTAGGAAGGAGTACGGCAAAATTGCCAGCACAAGGCGAACGCACGCACTCTCTATATGCGCTCACTCACTTACGCACGCACCTACGCACGCACGCACGAATCCCACACGGCACGCTCGCACGGGCCTAATGCGTTAGTTATTCATGGAGGACAGTTCGTTTTCAAAAAGTGCATGGGTTATACGTGAAGGTATTAAAAATATTGTTTACATGTGGCCCTGGACTATATTTCAAATAAAAAATAATAAGATGCATTATATATGTTATATCGCTATCGGTTGGTAATCGCACACCTGCGCTAATTGCTCTTTCACGGTGCTGAGCTCATGCATGTCAGTTGCGTTGCTGACGCCGTGGAGTTGGTGGAGCTGGCTGGTGGGGGCTATACTCGCTGCTGTCGCCACCTGGTGCTGAGTGACTTCTATTGCGTTCGTAGTACGATGACGGGCTATGATCTGGAATAGATTGGGACCTCGGCGAATATCTCTACTACTACCCGGTGATGTGCGCGTGTTTGTTTTTAAAAATACTTTCCGCTGTAGTACATATATACTGACCGTAAACATGCGCGCGCGTGCGTCATTCACGTGTCATTTCGTTCATTCATTAGTTGATACTAGAGGCTATAATTCGAACCTTCGGTACAAATATGATGCTCTGCGTCAACGTAGTAGCAAAGATGACGCATGCGCTCTTCACGACGTATCTCGGTATCGCCATGTCACCCATCATCATGACGACGCCGACGCCAACGACACCGAAGATTACGTAATTGTAAATACAGGTCGCTATCAGTTTGGAGTCGTTGAACTCTTCTACTTTCACCTGTTGGTGCGCAAATATAAATAAGATCGAAAATAAATCCTGCAGTGTCCAGTTTTATACGCGATTTCTCTTGTTACTGTATACGAAGCTCGCGAAGTTAACTGTAAAATAATAATGAACATATTATGGTACTAGAAGCGTTGTTAATGCGCAATAAGAAATCTAACGGTAAATCTATGTAGAACGGATGTAAGCATTACCTATACGATATTGCTGTACTAGTTCCCGCTTTGGAAACTTGGTCGAGTAAGTGATGAACACAAGTGATAAACACAAGGGATGAACACAAGTGATGAATACAAGTGATGAACACAAGTGATGAACACAAGTGATGAACTCAAGTAATGAACACAAGTGATGAACACAAATGATAAACACAAGTGATGAACACAAGTGATGAACACAAGTGATGACCTCAAGTGATGAACACAAGTGATGAACTCAAGTGATAAACACAAGTGATGAACTCAAGTGATAAACACAAGTGATGACCTCAAGTGATGAACACAAGTGATGAACTCAAGTGATAAACACAAGTGATGAACTCAAGTAATGAACACAAGTGATGAACACAAATGATAAACACAAGTGATGAACACAAGTGATAAACACAAGTGATGAACACAAGTGATGAACACACGTGATGAAAATAAGTGATGAACATAAGTGCTACATAGTGGTTGCAAATGCGCGACGTAATAGATCGACGCGAATTGAAGTGTGGAGCAGAAATGCACGACGCTATGCAAACGTTATTCAACGTGTAATACCGCGCGTCCCCTGCTATGACAACTTTGGATCATCATACGTAGGCGTGAGGGTAAACGGACGTCGCATCTCACTTTCTAGTCTCGTACGCGATGAAGTTCCAAACGAGCAAGCAGCAGACTCTGAATGGCGTAAGCCGGTCCTAGAAAATACGCCTCACTGGCTGACTTGCACACCTGTACTTGATTTATGACATTCACATCGTAATTTTCTTCGGATACCTTTAGAAATGTAAGGTGGATCTTTCTTTATTACTGTATTAACTCTGCTTTAATCCGTTTTACTAACTATGTATTTGTATCCCAGTATATGCTCACGCGACTCCCAACTGGAGGCTTATAAATGTCTACACGAGGAACATTACCGCACAGACTGCAATATCGGCTGACTAGCACGAATGAACATAGAAGCTACATGAGCTAAACATAATTAAAAAATTAAGTAAAATATTTAAAACTTCATATTATGATTTATAATTTTAGTTCATAAAATTGAATATGCTACTTTAGAAGAGTTCGATGAAAGCCACAAAGTCCTGTGCTTATATCATGTGCTATGTGCTGTCAAAAAAGTGAACATAAATCCATGTGTATCAATATGCATAGGCCCTTAATAGGTGGTCTTCCATTGTACTTTTTAGTTGGCCTAATCTCACCCGCAAATACCTTGCTACATGCAGAAACTTTACACTTACGCAATGCGCTTATGGCTCCATTGTAGGAACCTAGAAGAAGGAAATGCCATTTACAGAAATACCAAGGTCATGGTGGCCATGCAGAATGTTTTGGCAAAGTCCTAATTTTACAAGGCTAACAGAGCGGCTCATCGCAAATGCCTGTTTCCGCGCGCCCTTTCTTGTCAGCACACAGAGCAGCCACTGGCCGCAGATGGTAGTGCCTGCATAAATCCACCCAAGTTGTGCAGTGGCGTCGTGGTCTAATGTCCCGGCCTGACCTCTGTTTGACCTGGGCTCGTTTAGCTATTTCGGACTAATATTATATATGTATATGATATATAATATATTAGGGTTTAGGGTTAGGGTTTAGTCAGAAATCGCTAAATCGAGGCCAGGTCAAAATTAGCGGAGTTTTGTGGTAGTTTTTTACAATATACGCGGGCGATGTACCCGACTAATTCCTCATATTTCTAGGCTTACGCACTAGCGCAGTAGCGTTGTAGACGGTTACGCTCAGTGGATCAACCGCTTCCCACGTACACAGCACGAGCAGGTTAACTGCCGTAACCGCAACCACCGCCGCAATTAATTTTTTATCCTTGATAACCTGAAAAATGAAGGGCGTTAGTCATATACATCGTCGTTGCCATTGCCATGGCAACGAAGCAAAAGCGAAACGTTTATATCAGCAAGGTAATGGCATTCTCAATTGTGCACTTTCATCAGTTGATGGGGATAGCGTGCGCATTGGCATTACGATACGCTTGTTTTCTTGCATTACACGCGTTCTTTTAGTTTGATGTTATCAGAAGTAGATAATAGGCTACTTCTGATGTTATGAATGCATGGATAACAGCTCTTGATGGCACGTATAGTCGAGTGCACGGCGTCGCTGCTCGTGTCAGGCAAAAAATACAGGTATGGAGGGCTATGATAAAGATGAGTGCTAGTCAGGAAGGGAGCAGTGAGAGGCAGCGGGGTGGGCAAGTGGGGATGCTTAGTGGCGTACAGACGATGGATATTTAAAGGAGCCAATGAAGTGGGCATCAGCGTGAGAAGAACAAGAGACATGGGAAGCACTGGAACAGGCAGGGAATACTGAGTAACTGAGTTAAGATGCTAAGGGAGACGAGATGGTGGAGATGGGAAGGAGCTAGGGTGAAGAGGGGGAGAAGTAAGCAAAAGCAGGAGAATATCAGATGTAGATAATGCGGATCATCTCTCTAATCTTCATATCTTCTTCTTTCTCCGCCTTATCCTCCTTTCCCTTAATTCTCCTCCGAGCAACCAATTCTTTCTCTGCTCATATAGTTAGATCCTTTTTCTCACACGCCTACTCCATGACAAACAAGCGTAGTGCATGCAGACCCGGATCCATTGATTCATGTAATTGTGAAAAGGTGAATGCGCTGGATGTGTACTGGAAACAAAGGTAGACAACTATCAGCTAATGGCAGCGTTCGGAAAGTTAAGTTTTTTCAATCATAAAAAACTTGGCTTTCATATGCCACGCAAAACGGGCGGCGTGATATTAGGTAATATCGTCAGGCTCAGAGAAGGACGGCGATGAAACTCCGCATGTAGGCGGACAAGCAATGCCTGCTTCCAGCAACATGCCACGCAAGACGAAGAAAGAAAAGTCGGATACAGCCGGGCAGAATGATGATATATCTGCCTATCCTAGCGACGTGGAAGAGCAGCGCACCCGCATGGGGAGCGGCTCCCGCCCTACAATGCCACGTCATAGCAGCACACCTAGAAAGGAACGAAATACGCCAACATTTCGGAAAGGAGACGGAACTGCTTTAAAACAGTTCCTGGTTAAATTTGTCATGACAGCTACCTACAACAACTGGACAGAGGAGACATGGGGCATAGAGCTAGGATTATGTCTGGAAGCCGAAGCATTGGAAGCAATGATTGAAATGCCTCGATCACAGCAAACCAACTATGCGCAGATTGTTTCTTGTCTGCAGCAAAGATTCGACCCCGCAGAGCGGAAGCACGTACATCGAAGCGAATTACGCAACAGGAACCGGAGAGGGGAAGAAACTCCTGAAGAATACGGAGCCGTCGTGCGACAGCTGTTTAATCGCGCATACCCGGGAATGATCGGTCATCAATTTGAGGAGATCCTGATCGATAAATATCTGGAAGGTCTGGGAGATACGGAGATTCAGCGCTATGTACTCCTTCAACAGCCGAACACAATGGATGAAGCTATAACCCGCGTAGCCCAGTTCGAAGCAGTAACGAGAGAAACTGTACATAGCAGGAAGCCGCCAGCAGACTGGAGTTATCATGTACGAGCTGTGGTACAGCAAATAGATCAAACATCAAGCCTGCTTAACCAACTGCGAGCTGAGGTACGGCATCTAAAGCAAGAAATGGGTAAGATGAGGGGTGAAACCGAGAGCCAGGGGAGGCTGCGTGAAAACATTGGTTGGGGAAAAGGTCAAGGATCAGGTCAAGGCACACCATACCTACCTATGAGAGGAATGGCAAGGTCACCGCAGGACATGGCGCCAATAAGAAACATTGAGTGTTATTACTGCAGAAGGAACGGACATATGCAGAGTGCCTGTCCGCAGAGACTGCATGACAACGATATAAAGAAATCCACACTACCAAATGCCACAAGAATGCGAGATCAACAATCATTAAACTAGGAAGGACCAGGCATAGGGTCGGTGACCTGGTCCATCGCAAGGCAGAGAGAGGTAAAACACGACTTACTCACTTCAATTTCGATAAAATAAACAAAATATCTGGAGACATGGAAACTGACGGCGAACAACTGGAGAAGCAGCTTAAAGAAAATAAAAGTAAGAAATCCATCACAGCAGAACAGGAGCGAATATCAACAGTCTCAATATCACCCGTACAGTGTCATCCCACCTGGATGGTGCTTGGAAAGGAGGAAGAATGTTTAAGAAAATCCCTCGTGGACAGTGGATCAAGTTCTACACTGTTGAATGGCGACGGGTTCGACAAGTTGGAGTCAATGAAGGAGCACAAGATGGAGGGGTTGTCAGTACTGGCAGAAGGGACTGTACCAGACAGTGAGAAGAGAAGAGAGAAAGGGGAGGAGGAAACGAGACTCCCTGAGGAGAATTGCCCAGAGAACAGACATGGGACTGCAGAGAAGACTGTACCATTGGCGACAGAGATACAAACAGGCGAGGAGGAGACGACCGTGCCGGAAGAAGAAGACGAGGTAGAGAGGAGAGATGAACCACTCAGCCGTAATGGGAGGACTGATGATTTTTCATGGAAGGATGAAGAGAAACATGGCCGCGTTTTAGTCATGATCGATGGGAACCAGAGGCGAGAGAATCGTACGGAAAACCCTGAGGATGAAGGGGATGACCATGGTATATGGCACCCCGAGAACGTTAAGAGATTGCAGGACAGGGATCCTGTCATAGTCTTCTTTAAGGAACGAGTAGAGGCGGCGTCAGATAGGCCTGAGTTTTCTGAAATCGCAGGAATGGGAGCGGAAGCAAAAGCATACTGGGGGCAATGGCACCAACTGGAGGTACACAAAGGAAGATTGTATCGGCGGTGGGAGACACCGGTGACACCAATCCAGCCAATCAGTCGGCTGATAATACCCGCAGAATTGAGGAAAGAAGTATTTCAACAATTGCATTATCATCGAACGGGAGGACATCGAGGTGAAAAACGAAGCAGGGCTAGTATTCAGCAGAGATTTTACTGGCCTGAGTACAGGAAAGACATAGTGTCAATATTGTGGTACATGTGCACGACGACGACACGGTAAAGGACTGAAGAGAGCACGACTGAAACAGTGACAAATAATGGTAACAACGGAAAGAAAGCAGAGGAAAAGAACGACTATCACACGACGAGGGAAGGTAAATCGTATCCGAGGGCGGATACTAAGAGAAGTTGGGAGGAGTTGTGGAGATTTCAGGGGGGAGTGAAGAGTTGTGGAGTTCAGGGGGGATGACGTCATACAACCAGAGACCAGCCACCGCAACAGAGATAGAAAGTTTTCCTGCGAGAGGGTGGCGCTAGCTGATGTGGGAGATCAGGGAGTTGCACCATTACGTACACGCGCCGGGCGAGAGAGCGGCGTCAGCCGAGCACGTGGCAGACAAGGGGGTACGACGCTCGCGTGTATACTGGACTAAGGGGGTTGCATCACCTGTACACGTGTTAAGCAAGGGGGACAACGGCCAGGCACCCGAGGCACGGGACAGGGAGGCGCCGCCTGGATCCTACGTTACCGCGGGCTCCTATATAAGCAGCCAAGATCCAATGGTAAAATCAGTCAGTCTTCTGACGGCCACGAACGAACGAACGAACGAACGAATGAGCCAAAAGGACGAAGGAGCGAACGAGCAACCTAGCGAGCGAATGAACGAATGAGCAAACGAACGAACACGAAAACGAACAAAAGAACGAACGAACGAACGAACGCTCTTTCATTGTATTCCCGGTAAAATTCTCGACTTCGCTGGCAGCTATGGATTCGTGCGCCGACCTATGCATTCGGCGCACGGATGCATAGCTCCCAGCGCCTGATACTTTCGTAGCACGTTCCCGCGGTCGCGTGCGTGCTCAGCGGTTAGGATCAACGCCTCCTTTGCGCATCGCCTCTTTAATATCCGGTCTCTCCTCTGGACTGGTACCCGTTCGCTACACGACGTTAGTGTAGCGTGTAGAACTGTCGACCGGGTACCAGTCTATATTATACCTAGCCAGCTAAGCCTCGACATGATGCGGCCATGATGCCGAGGCGCGCCGAGGATTGACACTTTGTGTCTTCCAATCACAGCGTACGCCGCACCTCTCTGTTATAATTTCAAAGGTGGGGACCCATTGAGGTACGGAATCGCCGATCTCAAGAACTAGGGCATTCTGCTAGGCTAGAACGGTTTCCTACGATAGAGTTTGGCACAAAAACGAAAATAACACATTGTGTTTAGCGCACTGCGCTAT